TGTCTGAACGTGGCCTATTGTTACCAACTGCAGACAATACTTTAACTGGTCAACAGCCACCAAACAGCCATTGAACAGCCACAGCTGTTTGATAATACCAGCCACTTGCAGACAATACTTTATCAGGTCAATACAACAATCAACAGCCACACAGTAGCCACATCTGTTTGACAATGCCTGCCACTTGCAGACAATACTCTATCAGGTCAATACAACAATCAACAGCCAGACAGTAGCCACAGCTGTTTGACAATGCCTGCCACTTACATACAATACTTTATATGGTCAATACAACAATCAACAGCCACACAGTAGCCACAGCTGTTTGATAATACCAGCCACTTACCAACTTGGATCCAAACAAAACTGTCATTGTCGCAATAAGGCTGAAACGATACGCCTGTGTCACGATACGATACGTATCACGATACATATCAAACGATACGATATATATCGCGATATATCTTGGTATAAAAAAAAAAATCATAACAGATGAACTAAATCAGGGTCTAAGTCCTCTTTAATCTGTCTCTACTCGTTTCTGATAATACACAAATACAGTAAGGTACTACCGTAATTTTCGGAATAAAAGCCGCGCGGCGTATAAGCCGCACCGACCGCAGCGGTTTCAATTTTGTAAGGCCTCCAAATTCTAGTCAAAATGCTCTGAGCTAGTTCCATTTACACTACAGAGCTATAAAAAGGGCCACAAAAGTTATATCAAATCATTTACAATCGATACTCTTACAAACAAATATGGAAATTGATGATGAGAAATAAACTACGGGAATTACTGCCGGCTGCCCCGTCCGGTCCCCGGCCTTAAAAGTTAATGCATGGCCCGGCAGCCTGCGCCGGTGAATGACAACATTTTCCTGCAGCATGTGAGAGAGTATGCAAGCCACCGTGTGTTGTCTGTGTTCCTTCCTCCATGTCTGACTGGAGCGTTACAAATCTTGCTTTTGTGGAAACAGTTGCTGATTTGTTTTGCCCTAAGACTAAACAGGTCAAAACTTATCAAACTTGTGTGATTACTAGCGAGTAGTTACGTTGAAAGTTCAAGTTTCAATCGTAACTTTCTTCAAAAAATCAAAACCAAAGATCTTGTCCTGTAGCGTCGTAGGAAACGATGCTGACATTTTCATGGGTGAATCCATTAATTTTGCAAGGGGTGATTCAGTCCCCTTTTTTAGTTTTACATCGTTCTTGAATACATTTCAAGAAAAATATATATATTGTGACGTTGAACAACTTATTATCTAATAAAGAAATATTTCGAACACCATAACAAGTATTAGTCGTCATTTTTCCTTTTTTTAATCAGCGGAAATATTGGTAATTATTGTTCCCAAGAAAGAAAACCACCCCTTCATTACCACAAAGGTGTGGTCCGCTGGGGAATTAAGCATGCTGCCTAGTAATGATGGAGGAATCCTCCATGGTATCACGTACAGCTAGTCGCAAGTGTCTAAGACAGCTTTCACCATACTTTTTACCGCTCGGTTTTGGTTTCAGTTTGTTAATAACTTTATTAATTGATAATTCACTTCAGCAACACATCTCTTCTTGTACCAGTACATTAAATACACATGTGAATCTTATTTTTATTCTTCAAGGCTCGGCGTATAAGCCGCCCTGCGTATAAGCCGCAGAAAACATTTTCATGGGCAAAATCAACGATAAGCCACGGCTTATATTCCGAAAATTACGGTACATGAAATGCATGCACCACCTGAAGAAAAGGGACTCGACGGAGAGTCTTCATGAACTTTTCACGCGCGCGCTCAGAAAGGTGAGACTTCAACTCTTCGCATTATTATTTTTACATTTCGTGCTCCTCATGCATCGCAGTAGCTTGCAATTTTGTTTTGATGCGCTGCCACTGTTATTTATTATATTGTTATTAATAATATCGATATCAAACATTCGTACCGATATATCGCATAGTGAACGAATGTATCGCGATGCACCGATATATCGATGTATCGTTTCAGCCTTACGCACGTGTAAGCAAACGATGCACACAATGTACAGACTGAGCATGAAACAGTGTACACGTGCGATTAGTGTACACGTGCTGGCCGATGCATCAATCACGGGCCGTGCCATTGATAAACAGATGTCAGTTAGCAGTGTGTGGGAATATCACTCGACACTTCTTGCAAACCGCAGAGCACGATGCCGACTTATTCAGAGGAATTTTTGTAGTTTCGAGGAAATGGGACTGAAAGTAACACACCGACAAAGGCGAAATGGCGGCTTACAAAGGCAAACTTAGAAATGAGACGAGACAATCGGGACTTTCGTCAGACGGCCGATTTAAGCGATATGACAGTTTACACGATGTCGGTTCAGCCGGAGTTTACTGCATTTCTTTCTAAATAGTGCCCTCTTGTGTCCTACTTAAAGTGTGCCCTCTACATCTCGTTTCGAATCGGATCGCCACAATACAAATACTAATATATTTTTGATAAGACATTACTATGAAGTTTGTGTAAAAAGTTGTTTATTACATGTATAAGGCTTTATTTATAAAAGTTGTGGATGTAAAGTGTCTAAAGTAAAATATTTAATGAAGAACTTAAGAGTTAGTTTATTCAGCTCACCTGGGTCAACACAGGTAAGGCAGACAGGTAAGCCAAGTCAGCCGGGCTGATCAAACGCTCAACCGCAAGCCATCACAATCCTCATGGGACGCCCTTAGCCGTGGCCGTAGCCACTCACAAAATACCCGTTACAGATTGGGTCTTAGTATGAGATTTACTGGGCAATTCCACGGTTATTTACGTTACGTCTTTGATCCACTTCTGAGTTTCCTTGGGCTGTAATTACCTTACTGAAAAGGTTTAATAACTGTTATCCCAATGGTAGATAGAGTAGGCCTAGACCTACCTAAGCACCAAAGATGACATCCAGAAAAATGTGTTATGTATGATAAACAAGATGCACAAAATCAGTTACTCATGTTACATTTTCGGACATGCATCAAAAGCCAACTATACTTTCAACACAGGCGGGTCACAAATGGTCAGATTACATACTATGACGGGTCAATATCAGTCGACTGGTTTTGACTCGTGGGGCAGTCAATGAGAGGCTGGTCACCAATGGTCAGATTGCACATGTGGTTAGTACTATGACGGGTCAATATCAGTCGACTGGTTTTGACTCGTGGGACAGTCATGAGAGGTACCACTCATTGTGAATGCACTGTGGGACAGTCAATGAGAAGTGGGTCAAAATCAGTCGACTGGTTTTGACCCGTTGGACAGTCAATGAGAGGTACCACTCATTGTAAATGCATTGTGGATTACAATAATTCCCTCCATGTTTTTTTTGGGGGGGGGGGGGGCTCAGATAATTCATGTCAGTATAATATCGGGTAGTTGCTGGTGTTTTGTTAGGTGTTTTTTTAATTGTGGCGGGGCTCAGATATTTCACAGGATAATGGTTGCTGGTGGATTTCAATACTCCCTGGGTGTGCTTTAGGGAGGGGTGTGATTTTTTTTTAGGGGGGGAGCCTTCAGATAATTTACAGAGCAGAGTAGTTGCTTGGTGGATTACAATACTTCCTTGGTGGTTTTCTGTTTGATAGGGGGTGGTTTTTTTTTTTTTGGGGGGGGGGTCTCAGATAATTCTCAGAGGAGCCACAACTGTTTTGACAGGGATCATGATTCAGAAAACACCAGGCACTATGGGGTCGTTCAGACACCGTCTTAAATTCCCATTAAAACACTGGTTGAACTCGATTCAGTGTAACTTTCTTGCTAAAAGGGATGTCTGAACGCTTTTTTATTTAAACTGAATCGAGTTGAACTCGAAGATAAAACAACTTAAATATATTTTCATTGGGTTAGCCAAAGCGAGAATTTACATTTGAATGGAATCAGCGGAGTGTGACATTAAGGTGTGGTTGAACAGGCGTGTTCAAGTCACTGACCGAATTCACCAGCAAGCAGTACGGACGTCAAATTTGTGTGTGTTCTTTTTCGTGCCTAATTCGATAGAGCAACCATGTCCTTAAATGAACAATCTTCTTCTGCACAAGAAGTACCTGTCTCCCTGAAACTTGTCGGAGATACTATCAAAGCAGCATTGGGAGATTTCAAGGGGTATTTGGATACCTCGCTCGCCTCATTCAAAAAAGACAGCGAGCGTAAGCAACAGATGACGTCGGAACAAGTACAACAGCTGAAGCGAGCTTCGGAGCTGAGCTTTCGCTTCAAAGGAAACAAAACCCAATATGATTTCAATGCAGGTATTGTAGAGAAATTAGGAAGGGCAGAAAATTGTCTCAAAGAAGACGAAGGTGGGTCAGCAAAATCCCTGGTGACAGAGGTCATTGCAGATGTAAAAAAGTGAAACAAGCCGATAAATCTGACGCAGGTTAGTGGATGAACAGAGTATAATAATATATTGTCATTCAAATGCTTTGTAATTAGCTCAGCTTTTTCCTTTGTACTTGCCAAGCTTGGAATACCTGAACTGATGATGAGTTTAAACTTAGCTTATTATTCAGCAAATACAAGTAGTAGAAATTGTTTTTATAAAGCAATGCCTATAGAGGCATACTGCAAATTCTGTAAGATGTATTCAAGAGAGCCTAATGGGCTTTCGGTGACATTCTTTACGAAACAATTAGCATAAAATGTGAATTGCATTGACAGATTAGCCACTAAAGATTCACCGATACGTAAAGTAAATTTCTTTAACCTATATCGCTATACCCTTCTTACAGGCTGGACAGCTGTAGATGAATACCTAGGTGACGAGCTCGCTAGTAACTCCGAGGATGACAAAAGAATCAGACAAGCTCAAGCAAGGGTGGTACGAAAAAAGCGCCTTCAGAAAAGCGTCAACGTCAAAATACTACAGTGGAGCAGTTTTCTCCTTCTACTTCTGGCACTGGGCTTTTTCGAAGTTTTCAGCCAAACCATAGATTCATGCCTGGGGCTACCTCAGCTTGGAGCCCAGGACCAAAGCCAACGGACGTGTGCTTCGCCTGCGGGAAACCAGGTCATTGGAGACGCAACTGTGGACAGCAAAGGCAGGCAGTGGTGGGAGGAAAAGAACCAGCAGGGGGTAGTACAACTCAGCCCCGACAGTGGTGAATCAGACGACTCACATAGTGTAGCAGAAAATGTAAATACAGAAACAGGGTATGATATCGACTTTTTTCTTGCAAACTATTATGAATATGAACAGGGCAATGATGAGCCATTGGTCAAAGGCAGATTGAAAGCGGCTGTAGAATTTTGGAGAGGAATAGACGCAAATCCAACGGTCATAGATATTATTTCTAATGGATATAAATTGCCTTTCATTAACACTCCTAATCCCAGAAATTTCAAAAACAACAAGTCGGCACTAGAAAATAGCAGTTTTGTTTCTGAAGCGATATCGGATCTTTTGAGTAAAGGATTGGTTGCCGAGTGTGACAAACCACCACATGTAGTTAATCCATTGACTGTAGCTACCCAAAGTTCGGGAAAGAAAAGATTAATTTTAGACCTTCGTTATGTGAATCAATTTCTTTGGAAGGATAAGATTACTTTTGAAGACTGGAAAGTAGCAGAGTCATATTTCCAGAAAGGTGATTTTTTATATTCTTTTGACCTTAAGTCAGGTTATCATCATATTGAGATTTTTCCTGAGCATTGCAAGTTCCTTAGTTTTGCTTGGACCACAGAAGGGGTCACCAAGTACTATTCTTTTTTAGTTTTGCCATTCGGTTTATCCACAGCTCCATATATTTTTACAAAGTGCTTAAGACCACTAGTAAAACACTGGCGTACTCAAGGATACTTTGTAGTTTTGTACCTCGATGATGGTTGGGGCAGAGCGTGTACCGAGGAAACTGCCAACTTGATTGCTTCAAGGGTAAAGTCTGACCTTTTGTCGGCGGGATTAGTGCCGAATGTTCAGAAGTCACAATGGGTAGCTACGCAAAGTTTGACTTGGTTAGGTTTGGTATGGGATTCAAGAGACTTTTCAATTAGAGCCTCTGACAGAAGAATTGAAGATATTGTTAGCTGTATCAATGGCATTCAGATCAAGCTTCCCTATACCACAGCTCGGAAGCTGGCCTCAATTACAGGTAAAATTATATCTCTTGGTCCGGTAGTGGGGAAGGTCTCTCAATTGAAAACAAGGTTTCTGTACATGGAAATTATACAGAGAGTTCACTGGGACTATGAATATAAACTTGTTAGCGACTGCAGAGTCATTGAGGAATTAGTTTTCTGGAAGTCAGAAGTTCAAACCTTGAACAAACGGTATTTATATGAATATTCTCTTCCCAAATGTTTTGTATATACAGATGCGAGCCAAGTGGGCTGTGGTGCATGGACAGTTGGATGTGGAGGGGAGTTGGTCCTGCAAAGGAATTGGTCGAGTGCTGGAAAAAAAAAAAAAAGTTCCACGTGGAGGGAATTACAGGCGGTTTCCCTCGCATTGCAAGCATTTGCGAAGAGTTTAGAGGGTAAAGTAGTGAAGGTTTGTACTGATAACAAAGGCGTTGTCTCGGTAGTCAGCAAAGGCAGTATGGTAGAAGAGTTACTTGTACTCAGTCTGGATATATTCCAATTATGCAGAAAGCATGGTATTCAACTGGAGGTACAGTGGATACCCAGAGAGCTCAATCAAAGAGCTGATGAGATTAGTAGGGAGATAGATTGGGATGATTGGGGTGTATCATACATATTCTTTCAATTCATTGATAAAATATGGGGACCTCATACAGTTGATCGTTTTGCAGATGAAACCAATGCAAAATTGCCTACATTGAATTCCAAATACTCATCCCCTGGCACAAGCCAAGTAGACGCCTTTTCGTGCAATTGGCAAGGAGAAAATAATTGGTTAGTCCCCCCTATAAACTTGGTGGCGGACGTCCTAAGACACTTGAAGTTGTGCAAAGCAGAGGGCACTTTGGTTATTCCCTGCTGGCATTCAGCCCCTTTTTGGCCGTTGCTCTTTTCCCATCAAAGTTCGTTTCGAAGTTTGGTCAAGCATACCATGCATTTTTCTGATTCGTCAGATATATTCGTCCAAGGTCGGAATCACAAGTCTTTGTTTGGATCACCTTTATTCAAGTCCGAAGTCCTTTGTGTCAGACTGAAGTTTTCAGTATGATAAGCCGCATGGCAAGGTAGCCGCATGGCAAGGTAGCCGCATGGCAAGGTAGCCGCATGGCAAGGTAGCCGCATGGCAAGGTAGCCGCATGGCAAGGTAGCCCCATGGCAAGGTAGCCGCACGGCAAGGTAGCCGCACGGCAAGGTAGCCGCACGGCAAGGTAGCCGCACGGCAAGGTAGCCGCACGGCAAGGTAGCCGCACGGCAAGGTAGCCGCACGGCAAGGTAGCCGCACGGCAAGGTAGCCGCACGGCAAGGTAGCCGCACGGCAAGGTAGCCGCACGGCAAGGTAGCCGCACGGCAAGGTAGCCGCAAGGCAAGGTAGCCGCAAGGCACGGTAGCCGCATGGCAAGGTAGCCGCACGGCAAGGTAGCCGCACGGCAAGGTAGCCGCAAGGCAAGGTAGCCGCAAGGCAAGGTAGCCGCACGGCAAGGTAGCCGCACGGCAAGGTAGCCGCATGGCAAGAAAAGAATTGCCGAATGGCACGTATATAAAGAATAAATAGTAAATATAAATTACTTTATTAATTACCTATTTCTCTGCAGAAAATATAAAGACGATGAGTACTCTTCAACGTTGGCCATGATTCTTGACGCATCAAGAGCCCCCAGCACCACTAAAAAATACAACGCTGCTTTTTCCGCATGGCAACAATGGTGTAAGGTGGAGAAGATCAATCCGTTACCAGCCAATGCCAATGACGTGTGTCGTTATTTTATACATCTCTTCAATATTGGGGCTCCATTCTCGAGAATCGAATCAGTTTTCTATGGCCTTAAATGGCGTCATGATTGTTTTGCGAACTGTAAAGAAAACCCATGTGACAGTAGATTTTTACATAATGTATTACAGGGATTAAAAAGAAGATTAGCTAAACCTGTTGAGAAGAAAGAACCCATTACACCAGAAATATTAAAGGCTGTCGTAGACAAGTACGCAGTTCTGAGCAGTCTGTTAGATATTCGATTATGTACCATGTTGCTTATTTCATATGTAGGTTTCTTGCGTCATAGTGAACTTATCAACATCAGAAGATGTGATCTGCAATTACATTCCTCATATGTTAATATCTTCATAGTTAAAAGTAAAACTGACATTTTTAGACAAGGAGCCTGGGTGATCATTTCAGCAACAAATACATCTACGTGTCCAGTCAGAATGTTAAACAGATACCTAATCCTTGCATGGATGAAGATTCATATGAAAGTTTCCTTTTTCGACCAGCTAATTATATTCGAACAGAGAACAAGTACAAACTAAGATCAGGGCAACTATCATATTCAAGCGTTTTGGACTGCATAGTCTAAGAGCTGGGAGAGCAACGGCTGCGGCTCGTATTGGTGTGCTGGACAGGCTTTTTAAGAAACACGGACGTTGGCGTTCGGAGACGGCAAAGGATGGCTACGTCCACGAGTCGTTGGAAGACAGACTTTCTGTATCCAAAATGTTGGGTTTATAGATAGTTTATCAGCTGTAAGTTGGTTCAGTAAGTTGTAATATGGTCAATTCAATCCCTGGATGTGTTAAAAAAAGTGGAAATAAAACTTGATGTTTCCTGATTATGATTGTATTAAAAAACCCTTATTTCCCGCTCTTTAATTCCTGAGTATGATAATGTGGAATAAATAATATGGGCAATGCTTGTCATCGAAGTTCGGTGTTTCCCAAATGGATTGCATTATTTGTTGTTGTTAACCTATTTTCTTGCAGGTTGGGTAATACAGGGTGGGAAAATAAGAGGGTAGGCGGCATTGAAAATAATTTATTCGCGATTGAGGGGCGAATTAGAGAATAAATATATTTTCATTGGGTTAGATAAGCGAGAATTTACATTTGAATGGAATCAGCAGAGTGTGACATTAAGGTGTGGTTGAACAGGCGTGTTTAAGTCACTGACCGAATTCACCAGCAAGCAGTACGGACGTCAAATTTGTATGAAAATGTGTTAATGACTGATATTGCAATTGAATGCCTCTAATCTGCAATTGAATGCCTCTAATCAAGCCACTTGTTATCCAGCTTCATTATATTGACAGATACAGTAGAAGTAGAATGCCGTTAGCAGACGATTCCCTATCTTGGCAGTCAACTTTCATCCCACAAGCACAGAGATGGAAACTCAAGACCTTGAGTTCGGATACTTCTGTCTCGACACAGCTTAAACTGTCTCCAAGATAGCGACGCATCCTGAGCCGTGTCCGCGCAATGCTTGCCATCGAAGTTCGGTGTTTCCCAAATGGATTGCATTATTTGTTGTTGTTAACCTATTTTCTTGCAGGTTGGGTAATACAGGGTGGGAAAATACGAGGGTAGGCGGCATTGAAAATAATTTATTCGCGATTGAGGGGCGAATTAGAGAATAAACCCCCTCGGAGGGAGGGTTAAGCGAATAACCAGAACAAGTTTATCTCTTAGTACGATGTCTGAACCGTTTTAGCTAAAACGCTGCCCGTTTTTAGCCAGCGCAGTGACCCGGAGTTACGTAACGCTTTCTCCGTGGTGTGCTTTTCTATTAAAGCTATAGTCCATCATTTGCAGTCATCCGAAAAGTAACTGGCGTAAAATAGTAAGGGAACTAAACTCCCTTTGAAATTATTCTTTCTGGGAAGCTGTCATTTTGAAGTAATCAACGAAAGAAGGCATTTCCAACGGTGATTCTTAAGAAGCACCGTAGGAAAATTTAAATTAGCAGTTCGTTTTGTTATTCAGCGCAGCGCACACAAGTATTGGAACGACGCACACGCGCGCGCGGTTGTTATAATTTGTCGGATCAGTGCATGACGCCGCGTATAGCTGCAATTCAAAACAATTCAAAACATGATTCAGTAACTTTTGATTTGAAATTGAGATCTTAGAATGCTGTTTTTCTCGGAATGTACAGCTGAAGCTTAGCTGAAACTTCATCAGGTTAGTTGCTCAGTATCCTTCATTAGATTTTGAACTCTTTTGTTGCTGCAAACGAACAAAATGCACAAATTACAAATGATGGACTGTAGCTTTAAGCAAACAATGTCCTAATTCTCCTCCCGTTAAAAAAATCCAGTTTCAAGTCTAATTTCCGCAAGTTTTCAGACCACATGGTCCGAGTGTCACATCCTTCTCACTCGCACGCACTCGACTCACGATGCCATGACAAACCTGTAGATGTCAATGCAACAACCGATAACCGGAGCATAATTATCATAATACACTAATATATTCAACCAACAGGAAAACCTTGGCGTTGATTGGTCAATATTGCAACGTTAATATCACATGTATTTTCACATGACTGACATGTTGCGCGGGCAAGTTGATGCAGTAAACCTTGAGTGAAATCGGTTCAATGACGTCTTGTTTTGAACACCGGTTTTCGAACAACTTTTCGGAACATTTTTTATGTCTTTTTGCACCACGAAAGGTACAGAAAATAGACCCCAAAATGTACACACAAAAGGTGTATATGTAAGGTCGATATACGCGATACTTCCAAAAAATGGGGAAATTGCTGCGGCGAACAAGTAACTGTCATCATGTTTACCGGCATGCCACGCTACATGACCGGCCGAGGCTGCAATGTCAAACACGGCATGGCAACACACATCACACGGTGAGTGGCTCAGACCACGTGTAGCGAACTGTCAAAATGGAAGAGTTAAGGCTCTTTTTAGCGCACAGGTTTTGCCGAGGCGGATGTTCTATGTCACTACGTGACCTTAGACATTGAGATAAACTACCATATGAATTTGTCACCCCCGCTTTTGTTCACTTAAGTTCAGGTGTTTATTCTGGTGCGCTTTGTCTTGAGAAGAGTGCCTGGGTGATTAAATTTGATTAATGCGAACCCTGTGTAGCTGTGCGTTCGGTCGTGAAATTGGTATGTAGCATGTTCCATTCACAAAAGAGGTTGGACAATACGTGTTCAAGTAGCCTTGAGGGATGATGTGAATACAATCAGCATGACTGTTTTCAGACACATGAATTATAAGAAATACAGTGAGAGAAAGACAAGTTTGTTTCTTAGCTAACAAGTGAAATACATGTTATTTATTTCACGAATCTACACATACAATGATGACATATCAAACATTTCTCTGAAGTATTTATCTTCACAACCACAATGAGACTTTGCAAATGTCATTCCGACCACACTGTCTGCAGATTGACATTGACTTAATCTGCATGTCACAAGCAATGAAATATTAAAACAAATTGTCTTCCTTGATTATTTCTTTTGTACAACTACATTAGACTTAACAGACTTAAAAACTTTACTTCCAACATTAATGTGACTCGACAACTACCAAGAAGCGTAAATCTGATGAAGAAACACCAATTTAGGAGTAAGAAATTTCAAAGTTTTGTAAGAAAATAGTCGGACTCTTTGTACACGAGGTCTTAGGTGGCGGTGAGATATGGAATTCTTTTCCATTTGTTTCTCTACAACCTTAAGTTTTAATTACACAGGTCCTTTTATTATGCCCTTCTGTACTACAGTTGCTGCACATTATCTTATGTCTCGGTTCTCTTTGGCAACTGGGGGCGAGGTATTCAATTCTGTTTTGCTTGTTCATAAGTTGGGTTAAAGCATCAAGATTTTGATGGTTGGTTGCCTGAAAGTACTATCTTGTAATTCTGTCGTTCATTTTTTCAAAAGTTTGTTGACAAAATTTGCCAAGATTACCATGAAGTTTGATGGAGCGAGCAACATGTTTTGCGAGCACATGAATGTATAATGTCACATCATGGGAGGTATGTACCCGGTAGTAATCATCTACCCACGATTCAGCTTTCCTTTGAAACAGTTCAAGTTCGTCATTGTTCATTCCCAACTTCATATCGTCTTTCAATTTGCCAAATGTACACCATAAACCTTTAATTTTTTCGATTTTTGGGTGGTCACTTCCGTAAAACCTTTCCAACTTGATATTTTTCTGAATTCGTTCATGCTGTGGGCCAATGAAATCCGGGTAAGTAAACATGCCATCTTTGTCAGTGTGAAAAGACCAGTCAAAACCAAGACCCTGAACAAAATCTTCGAACGTTTTGATATGTTTACAAGTGGATTTGTCAACATTTTTCTTATTTTTCCCAATGTTATCTGCAGTACGAAGAAAAAGAACAAGTTGACGGATGAGTTGATCAGAAATGCGCAAATATAAGTGAAGAGGGTCTGGAATGATAGAAGAAATTGGGATATGTGGGAAAATGGGTGGGTTTTTACAAGCATAAGCTGCTTTGGACTTCTTTTTACGGAGACTTTCAATTTCTAAAATGGTTCGATCACATGATGCAGTCTCATCTTCTGACAATTTCGTCAACACATCATACAAATTTGATTTTTTGGTTTTGCACCATGGGCAACTGTAATCGGAGGAACATGCACCCAAACCCAAGATTGTGTTTAGAAATTTCAAGTCTGCACAGATGACATACTTGAGTCTGAACGTTTTACCATTCACAGTTATAGACTGCAAGACTTTAGAATCCAGTACAACATCCTTAAGTACTTCCATAATGGATCCATACTTTTCTGGAACCTTAGCAATAGCAAGGATAAGATCATCTGACCTCCATGTTTCTGTCATGACAACAAAGCCAAAATTGGTCACATGTATTCGAGAACCAACAGTTGTGCCATCACCGGTA